CCTCCACCACGGAATTGTGCTGGGAACAAGGAGGAGCCTGGACTGACCCACGGGGGGACTTTTCCTCCCTAACCTTCCAGTCCCCAGCAGCATCCTCTGGCTCTGCCCCTGGTGACGCCGCTGTCTGTTTGGAGCTGAGGTGGCTGCAGCTCCCGGGGGGGCTTTGTCTTTGCAATCCCATTTTGCAAACCCATTTTGCAACCCTGGCTGCTCACTCCTCCAGCCACAGCCCGACGGGCAGGGCAGGGGGGCAAACGGCAGGGGAGGAGTCCCGAGGGGCCGCAAAGCCTGGGCAGGGCAATAATTCCCTTCCCTGCGTGGGCATTGCTGTCTCTCCTGCCCGTGCCATGCTGGGACATCCCATCCCACCTCCTCCCGGGCCACTGGGATGTCACAGCCTCACTGCTGCCATCCAGCTCATCTGCGACGTGGGCACAGGGTCCAGGGCTGAGCAGGGGGACGTGTCCTTTCCCAGAGGTGGTTTCTGGCTGAAAGCTGCAGAGGTGGAGAGGGAAAACAGGGAGTGAAACACAGGTGAGAGGAATGAGGCTGCTGGGCCAAAGTCGTGGTTAGAAGGAATTACCCCTGGCTGGTTTCATCAACCCCAGGTGGAACCTGGCTGCTGGTTGCTGTGTGAAGGTGGGGTTAGCGCTCACATTTCAATTAAAATCGGGTCTACCACTATGCTAAGCCGTGGTGCTGATGGGGTGACACGGTGTTTGTCCCCCTCCCACGGAGGGAGGATATACCAGATATGGAGGAGGAAAAGCTGATAGTTCGCAGCAGATCCCAGCGCTCGGGAGCCGCTCGCGGCTCTTGTGTGACCCCTTGTGTCGGCACTGCCTGAGGCTGGACCTGCTTCCCAGCGTTCCCACCCATGGATAGCTCCCACTGCCCTCGCATTTAAGGGATGATTACATGGAAAAATGAAACACTAATACGTGGTGGAAATGCACCGGTCATAGGCACAGTGACAAATCCTACTTATTACTCTTAAGTACAACGTTAAGGATTCTTTTCCCACCAGCCAGACTTGCTGTCTCTTGCTGCCTCTTTATTTTGCTCCTGAATTATTTTTTGAGCAGCTGGGCAAGTTCAATGGAGGGTTTAAAGCATCTCGCAGATTCTTAAATTCTCACAGGTTTCGTGAAAATTTGGGCTTGAGAAAAAGAAACTAAAAAGAGAAACACCAAACCCGACCATAAGGCGACCTCGGATGCCCCAGAGCTGCCGGAGCCCGGGCTGTGCCTGGCCAAGGGAATGCCTCGGAATGGGACTTTTCCAGTCTTTTTTATTATTTTTATCGGGGATTTTCTGGGGTCATTTCATCCATGAAATGTTAAATCCACCAAATTTATCTTAAAATCAAAACAGGTGGGTTATTAGGGGAGTGCCAGGACTCCAGAGCAGCAAAAGCTCCGGAAAACTGATCCTAAATGTGCTCTTGGCACCTCGTAAAGATGAGTTTGGGGGGTGTCTCCTGGGCTTGGGGAGGGGATGACCAGGAGGAGCTGGTTTATTTTATATACTTACATATTAAAGTATATTTATGCTACTATATTAACACTTCTTGAATTTTCTCTCTATGTGTACACGTGCTGTGTGTGATGAAGATCTCATGTAAAAATCCTTTGTCAGATATATTAGTGTATATAAAAAATACAAACATCTCCAAAAGCATGTTTTATGTATTATCTGTTCCATATATATAAAAATATAATAACAAAACACTGCTAAATGCACATATAGAGGCAGTCAAATGGTGTGTGTTCCTGCATTGTAACGAATATATTTTGTACATATTATATAAAATAAACAGCAAAGCCAGATCTTTATAGCAATAAAATATGTGTGTATATAAAAAGCTCTAAAGCCATATAAATGAAGTAAATGCTCTAAAATAGGCCATATGAAAATGTAACTATTGAATGTCTATATCTAGCTCTGTGTGTGTACAATGCACATTCACAGATGGAGGTGAGTGTGTGCATTAGGACAAACTTTGTGCCTTGAATAACATTTTATTAAATGTTAACTCCAAATCATCATCATGATAAATTCTACTTTATATATTTTTGAATAAACACCAAAAAAAATATATAAATCTAGCCTTTAAAAATAAATGCAGCTAAACATGGTATGTGAAAATACGATTTTTTAACCTTTATTGCGCATTATTTTATATGTGTGTCTGCATAAATAAAAACAGATCCATTTTTTTAAGCCTCTCTTTCTGTCCTGAGTGTGAAGAGGGAAACGTGTGACGCAGACACACGTGTGTGTCCAGGGAAGGGGAGGGTTTCTGGGTTATTAAAACAGGTATTTGATGTGCAATAGGTGCTATATATTTAAACTCAGACCTTTATACGTCAGTGATGACTATTTTTAGATGCATCTTCGTATAAAATATGAATGAAAACCTTATTAATTCTGTTCCATATGCTCTAGGGAAATAAAATTATTAAATTTCTCTCTGACTAGACAGACAGAGGCAGTGAGAGCAAGGGGAGTGTACGTGTGTGTGTGTGCTCACACGTGTCTGTGTTACAGCAAATACACTCTGTGCATCCTAATGTATAGTAAAAACAGACCTCTATAGCAATAGGTAATTATAGATATATAAATATTAACCTAGATTATCAAATTCTGCTAAATATGTCGTATGAAAATTTAATTGAATTTATATCAGTGTATACAACAGTATTAGGACACAATATATACATATCTATATTTTTTATATATATATATATATATATATATACATATATATATATATATATATATACTATATGTATCTCTATATATGTGCCTGAATATAGTGTAGTATATATAGTGTATATATATATATATAATACATAGTATCTATATAAAATACATATTAGTGTATATATACTATGTATAATACAGATTATACATATATATAATACATATTATAGTATAATACACATACATAGCATATATTTATATTATATATATACACTATGTACATGTATTACTTTATATATTACTGTATATACATATATATACACATAAATATACAGTAATATTATAAAGTAATATATATACATAGTATACATAGGTAATACATATTACAGTGTGTGTATAAAGATATAAATTATGCTATGTATATGTATTATATATATGTATATGTATTATTTTAAATATCATTACTCTAATATAGTGTGTATACATATATATACACATCTGTGTATATATATGTATATATATATATATATGTATGTATATATACAGTACATAGACACCCAGATTTGTAGCTATTTAGGTACAGGGATGAGTGTGGGAATATTGATTTATATGGGTGTACTAAATATTGATTTATATGGGTGTACTAAGACAACTCCTGTGCATAATCAGAGCATTATGTCTCATCACAAAAAGGTCACAGCATTACCACAAAAAGACCTTGATAACAATATTTTTCATATGGATTATAAAACTGCATCCAAGTAGTAAATTCTAAAAGGATTTAATAATTAAATTCTGAGAGAATTTAATAAATTCTGAATTTATTCTCTATGAAATACAATTATTAAATTTGTAACTACATAAGCCATATCTGTATGGAGAGAGAGCTCCAAGGACTTGTGTGCCCACACTGACATCTGTGTTTGTGTATTACAGAAATGATATTTTGTGCATAGCATATATAGCAAACCCAGACCTTTACAGCAATAAAATGTATTTTAAAATGATAAAAAGATGTATTATTAATAGAGTAAATGCTGTTAATATGCTGTATGAAAGTCTAATTGGCCAAAGTATAGCCATATGGATGCAGAGATATATGTGCTTGTGCAGATGCACAGTGTGTGTGAATTAGACAAATACACTTTCTGTCTCATTAAAGTCTTTGTATTAATAAAGTCTAGTTTATATATTTATAAACACATATAAAAATATAAAGCTAAAAGCAATTATGATAAATATATGAAAATGCAATTTTAACTTTTTTCTGTATACACACATACCTTTAATATGTGCATTTAAATATTTCTATATATTTAATTTCTAGATAATAATTTCTATATAATAATTTCTATAAATTATTTCTATATATTATAGCCATATATAAAACTAATGAGTGCATGCACACGGACAAAGGGGAGATTAAGCAAGAGACTGAATTCATCTGTGTTATTAAAACATGGATTTTATGCCTAATATATACTATATATTAAAATGTAGACTTTTATAGATGTGTTTGTGTGTGATTTTGCACGTGCACACACATACGTGTGTGTAACAAATGTACTTTGAGCATAATATATATATATATATAAAAATATATACATATATATTTATTAAAACCAGACCTTTATATCAATGCATACAGATAAATACACCCCCCCTCCCATATGCATACACATTTTAATAACTTGTAGAAAGAAGTGTTAGTGGTGAGTTACATTTTTGTCTCACTGGCTGTACTTTATTATATATAAACTAGATATCTAAAAGCCTGCAGTATGTATTATCTGCCATGTGGTCTATACAAAATATCAGACATAAAGGAGAATAAAATTAATGAGTTCTGTTGTACACTATAATAAAAAATACTCTTTAATGTGCAGCATTTTTGTGAATGTATTACAAAGGAATGATCACATCTCACGATATATGAAGTGTATATAGTGTGTATATATATATATATATATATAAATGATGAATATAGCTTACACTGTATCCCTTTAATACTTATTAAGCTAAACATTTTATTAAAATAATAAGAAGCACTAACTATACTACAACTAGGAATATTTCCTCTCGTGTAAATACCCATTTGCTGGGGTTATACCCAACCCTGGTGGCAGCTGGGCAGGTTTGGGGACATTTGCACCCACCTGGGGTCCATCCCCTGATGTGACACAACCCAGGCTGGAGGCTCTGAGCACTCACAGACCAGAGGATGGGGGAGAAAAATTCCAACACCTCCCCTCCCAAAAGCCCCGTGCCCCGATACACCAAAACAAGCACACAGG